GAGCTGTCGGTAAAAATGTCAGTTATGGGGGATTATTTTATCCTTCAAGAGCTGGATGTAAAACAGAGTTAATAGACTGTTTTCTATTCAGGTCGTTTGTGTGTTTTGCCTTTTTGTCAGACTGTAGGAAATATACCCGCTGTAGGCGCCATATGCCCATTTAAGTACATTTATGTATATTTATGTGTATTTTGAATTTATTTGTTTATGTGAATTTGATATGTCATTTAAATTAATGAGTGACATTAATAATTTAAGTTAAAAATATTTACAAGTTAAAAATGTGAACTTAAAATATTTGCGTTACTTAATGCGCCTTCAATGACGTGGTAATTATGCGCCAGGTGCCCAGTAAGGTTCCCTTTGTGAAATTAACACGACAGGAGGAAGGTTGGTGCCTCACGGTTTTCTGACCGTGTTATGCTCGTGACGTGCTCGTTTTGTAACTTTAGATTTAGATTCATGAGAGTTTAGGAAGTATATATTTCATTTGTGTTCGTTTTTGTTATCGCCTTTGTTTTAAAATAAAATTGCAAAACGTGACGTCAGTGGAAGTGAATAGTTTTTTGGATCCTGGAACACGCGTCAGCCACAAAGCTCCAACCTATTACGGATTTTTATTAAGACTTCCGAAAATACCCTACACCCGCCTCCTTTGCTTTTTGCTTGGCCCTGGATGTAAAAAAAAAAAAATCTGGATGGGGACATCTGGAGGTTCTTACCAGGGGTCCTCGGCGCCCAGCTTCTCCTTGGTGGTGAACAGCTCGATGCAGTCCTTCAGCTTGAAGAAGGCCTTCTTCTGGGGTTTGTACTCCATGCTTTCGTGCTTGTCGAAGTCCTGCGAACACAAACATATTCCCCTGTGAGGCCAAACACCGACCCCCCCCCCCCCCCCGACTAGGGATGGGACGGTTTCTGAAAACCGTCCGAACCGTTGGGTTGGACTGTCTCGGTTCGGTTCGCGTGTGTTGCGTTCGGTTCATGCTGCTTCTTTTTCTCAGAGGGAAGCGTTTACACTCCAGAGCAGAAGGGGGCGCTACTGCGCCCAAAGCCAACCACCAGTAGGA